AAGCTCCATTTGTGGGAAAAAAAGGACATAAAATTCATTTGGGTGCAGTGTTGCATGACTGCGCAATTGTCAGTTAAAGTAACGCAGCGCTGTATTGTAAAAAATGGGCTGGCCAGGAAGGGGGGTAAATCCTCTTGAGGGCAAGTGTTTAAATTTACTTTTGTCAAACTGGCTTGTTGAAAAATTTCTCCATCAGCCGGCTGGAGGCTTCCCAGTGTTCTCCAAGCCCCCTTCTATATGTGAACATATACAGTCCATCTCTGAGATGGACTACACATCTACGTGTGGACACATGTAGCTGGAAAGATCAGATCGGATGAAGTGGGCACACAGCACATATCAGAGATCCTTCACTACACAGCAGCTGTTATTTAAACTTCAGTAAAGTATTGGTGGGCGGCAGTGGCGAATAGTGGTGGTCGTGGCCGGGGGGCGCCTTATTTTAGTGTTGCCTAGGGCAGCACAAGGGATAAATACACCACTGGGTAAGAGGAAACTTTCCCAAAGTGAGGATTTTTATGTTCTCTGGTAATCAGGGAAGGGCGCATACAGATCTAAATTTGCCTGGTCTTTGCTGAACCAGCTGAATTTCGATCTGTGTGTACCCACTTTAAACAGGGGAATTCCCATCACTTTTGTGTCTAGGACAGAAAATAAAGGAAAATCTCCCCAAAGGTACACAGACAGCAAAGAATAAAATGACAGGTATTTACCCCTTCCCTGTCCTGTTCAAAACAAAACAAAAATATGGCTCTACTTTTAAAGTAGAACTAAAGGCAAAACTTTTTTTTTGTAAGGAAGGCTTATAACCCATCAGTTTTTTATTTTTTCTATCTGTGTTCATTTGGGAAGATTTTTCCTTTCACTTCCTTTCCCATAGTCAAAACAGGAAGCGAGAGGAAATCTGTCCAAAGTGAGCAAATCTCAGGGCTACCAAAACTAGCGTTACCATTGAAAGATTTCCCTTCTATTACTGAACTGGACACAACCCAATATCTGGGTTTTTCTTTTACTTACACTTTCAGTGGAAATGGTAAGCATGACAAGTAGAGAGGGTGAATCTCCCAAACAGGGACACAGACAGCAATAAAAATCTGACAGATGTTGTAATCCATCTCCACTCTATCCAAAAAAGTTTAAAAGATACTTTAAGATGAGCTCCAAGCATGGCCCTAACAGCATACTTACACTGGTCCAGCTTGGCACAATAGTATGAATATTTCATACCTTATGGGCCAATGAGGAAGCAGACAATCACTTAGATGGTAGATGATGCTACTACAGTGATGACTGTGATCTTCCGGGTCTTAACCACTTCCAGTCCGGACACTTTTACCCCCTTCCTGACCAGGGCAATTTTCAGCTTTCAGCGCTATCACACTTTGAATGACAATTGCGCGGTCATGCAACACTGTACCCATATGAATTTTTTACCATTTTTTTGAGACAGATAAAACTTTATTTTGGTGGTATTTATTCACCGCTGGGATTTTTATTTTTTTTGCTATGTAAATGAAAATGTCCAAAATTTTTGAAAAAAAAGTGTTTTTCTTATAAAATTTTGCAAATAAATATTTCACGATAAGTCATGGCCAAAATTGATTCCGTTATCTTTTTAGTAAAAAATAAGCCAAATTAGTTTATAACCAAAAATTATCCTTTTTAAACATTTTTTTTTTACATTTTTTTTTTTTTTTATATTATTTATTTTATTATTTATTTATTTTTTACATACTGTCACTCTAGCAGTACAGTGTCACCATGGTGACACTGTACTACTTTTGGGGGGTGATGAAGATTTTTTTTTTTTTTTACACTGATTACTTTTACACCCATATAGGATGTAAAAGCAATCATTTCTCCTTCTCTCTAGCTGCATTCTTGCAGCCATTGAGAACTACTGAGTAAGCTGTGATTGGTCACAGCTTGTCACATGGTACAAGGTTGTTGTGAATAGCCTTGTACCATGTGACCTCTGTGATCATTCACAGATTTCACACTTAGTAAGCAATGATGTCAGAAGTAACATTTTGCTTACTACTTTGCATGTGATCACTGATTGGCCAATCAGTGATCACATGATCAGGACCTTGTACAGAGGTCCCGTCCGACGATCGGTGTTTCACTGTGTCCGGAGGACACAGCGGGCACCAGATCGCGGTGCTGCACGCTCCCGGGGAGCGCGCACAAGCAGGGTGTGGGGAGGCCGTTTATAAACGGCCACCCAACCCTGCAGTGCCACCGTCCGGCCGTTTATATACAACGGCCAGTCGGGAAGTGGCTAAATGGCTGCACGCTCATCTGGCACTGTCGCTATTTACAGAACACCTTTTATTCTGAATACTAGACATTCTTCGATTAGATGAGGGTAAATTGTAATGGAACTGTTTTTTTTTCCACCTTGTCCAATCAGAGAACACTTTGTATTTATTGAAAACATATACAATCATTTGTAAATGGCAGAAGACCCAAGCAAGCAACCCCCTCTGGACAGGAACCAAAAATCGAGAGAGATCACTGTAGTAGAGCTGACTACTAGGTCTTGTTTAGACGGGAAACAAAATCTGGCCCTCTTGACTGCATTTTTACTGCTAACCAACCGCCCACTGAAAGCCTAACAAGCTAGCCGGATAGGTTTATACACATGATGTGGCCACAGCAAATTTAAATAATAAATTCACTGTAACATGTTACATCCATATCCAGGGTGTAACTTGTAATATGTTACTAATGCAGCTGGCCTGCTCACCCCCTGATCACGCGGTGACAGAAGGTGAAGGATCTTCTCCGCACACCGGGTGTCACAATTTAAAAACATTGCAGTGTGCCACACAGTTGGGTCTCTCATTCACAGAGTTCCGTGAATGAATGAACTACAAGTATCAGCTGCCACTGTGGCAGATGACTTGTAGTTTTCAATAAACTATGAATGCTCCGCTTCGGTAACTGTCCTCCTGTATGGGAAGTACAAGCAGACAGCTGAACAGCATGTCTGCAGGAGCCTGGCACTGCACCCGCCATCCACTGATCATGGGTCCAATGCTCTGCAGACGCCTTTGTTAATATATGTTAAATGTACATTTTGTTTACCTGCAAAACATTTGCATTTTTTTTTTTTTTTTTTTACAAAAAGGTGAATTTATTATTTAACTCAGCTTGCCACTGCCTGTCAAACACGCCTACTGAAGTCAGTGGGCCCATGCTGCAATCATTAGCCAAATCCTTGGCTGGCAGTTGTGGCAATTTTGTTTCATGCAAAATCACCATTTGGCGGAAAAAAAAAAAGAAATCAGGCACTCTGTAGTTTGCAATATTGCCTTCTGAATGCCTGGGAACCACTGCTCTACCACATTCTGAAAAGCAATTCACCGCTTTCCTAAGGCTGCTTTCACACTGATCTGCTGTTCTTACGTTTTTGTATTAAAAAAAATAAAAAAGCGGAAGAAAAACACATGACCATTAAAGGAGAAGTGCAGCCAACGCTCATTTGGCTGTACTTCTGTGGATCACAGGAATGCAGTTCGTTCTGCTCTCCTGTGACCTGTTTTCAGCTGACATCACAGAGCCAGTCCAGGCTGGGGAAGGATTGCAACCATATGGTCAGGATCCACCCAGGAGCTTGGACTAGCACCGCCTCCTGAGCCAGCCTTTCCCGCCCCCTCCACAGGCCAGCACTCCAGTGAGCACTGGTGGAGCAGAGCAGAGAGACAGAGCCAGTCTCATTACTGAGTGATCAGCAATGTTTGACAGTGCAGTTCTCAGCCTGAGAGCTGGTGGGGGATCGATGCTGAATCCACCTATGTAAGTATGATTTTTAAAAAAATTCCAATACTTCTCTTTTAAATCCTATGGAACTCTGGTCAGCTGCAATGCGCTGCGCTTTTCAATGTCCTGCTTGCTGCATTTTTGGTGCAGTAAAAAAAACATACCTCCCTATTGAAATGAATGGAAAACACAGCAAAAATGCATCCGCAGTTGCATTTTTTGAGGCACGTCAGGTGAAAAACACGTAGAAAACACAGCAAAAATGCACGTGTTTTTGCAATTTAAAATTGTGAAAAGAATCTAATGCAGGCCATAGACGGTTCATTTATTGGCCGAATTTTTGACAAAACACCGGTCGTTCTGTTGCCACCAATGTTACGAAAATCGGCCGTTTTTCGTACATTTTCCAGCATGATCGATAAAAGAAACGAGGAGGAACCGCAAAAATCGGCTGACGACATTGCCCCACTAACGGTGCGAATATCGGCCAATTATTCTTTCGGCCGATAAACCGTCTATGGCCTGCATTAGTCAGTGGAAACTAGCACCTGTGTGAGCCTAGCCCTATAGTGATCTACACACTGTAGTCCCTCAGGTATGAAATATGTATACTAAAGCTGGCCATAGATGGATGGAGAATTTGGTGGGTTCCTGACAAATTTTGATCCATCTATGGAGCTGACCTGGCGATCACTTTCTCTTGAATGGGAATGTTGGAAAACTTTGATCAGCCAACAGATTTGCTGCAGCACTGATCAGTGTATTGTGACAGCAGAGGTGTCCCTGCTGTCAGAATACAAGAACACAGAGGGGAGAATTCCTCCATCCACCTCCAATGTGTGGACAGAGCAATCCGATTAGCCCTCCAGCTGATCAGAGAAAGCAAATCATCTATGGCCAGCTTTATACTGATCCAAACTGGCAATAGAGATCATAGGCGGTGTAGAGGAAGTGTCACACTAAAACCTGAGACATCCAAAAACAGGCATGTGCTCCCTTCTGGATGGAGGCTGCCATTGCTGAGCTGCTTATGAAAATGCTAGTTGCTGGGCTCCGTGTGTCCCGGGACAGTCTGTCTCCTGGGGCTGACCATGACAGTAGCAGAGCTCAGTAATGGCAGCTTCCATGTTCCCGTCCAGCAGGCTGGCAGAAGTTGCGGTTTCCTGTAGTTGGGGGAAGTTGGTGCCATGTAACACAGGCCGGCTATATGCAATGTGTACCCGGGCCACACATACCTCCTCACACTCCTCCCGGCCGCTGGCCCGGCTCTCCAGCATCTCTATGAACTGCTCCCGGCTCAGCGCCTCCTCTCCCCGGCTCAGTCTCTCCTCCAGCCAGCGGAGCAGGGCGCTCTGGTGCCGGGAAAAACCACCGACTCCGGAGCCCCCACGTCCCTGAGCCGGGCCGCCGCCTCCCTCAGCCGGGCCTGCTCCAGCAATACCCCTGGGGAGGGCGGCAGCAGCAACGGGGATGACGGACCGCCGGGGATCCCCAGCTGGACTGCACTCTGCTTGCTGCTTGCTCCTTCCGCTGTGTCAGCGCCTGCCGTGCCTCTATCTTCCTGCTCCATGGCCGGGTCGTCTTCATCCCCGCTGCCGCCGCTAATTGCATTCCCCATAATGATGGCGGTGCCGAGCAGTGCTCTGTTGTGTCCGGAGGGCCTACGAGGCCCGGGCCGCCTCCACCTTCCCGGCCAAGACCCGCCCCGCAGCCCGCCCTGTAATGGCAGCTCAGACACCTGTCACCGCAGCCTGACACACTGACTGCACCCAGCCCTGCCTCACTCCTGTCACATGTGGGTCCCGGGGGGACCTATCCCACCTATGGGGGGGTCTATTTCTCCTATGGGGGGATTATTCCTCCTTGTGGGGGGGCTATTCCTTATATGGGGGGACCTCTTCCTTCTAGGGGGGATTATTCCTCCTATGGGGGGACCGATTGATCATTTTAGGGGATTTATTCCTCATATGGGGGGCTTATTGCTCCCATGAGGGGGATTATTCCTTCTAGGGAAGTCCTATTCTTCCTATGGGGGATTTATTCCTCCTGTGGGGAGATTTTTTCCTCATATGGGGGGCTTATTGCTCCCATGAGGGGATTATTCCTTCTAGGGGGGATTTATTCCTCCTGTTGGGGGGGGATCTTTTCCTCATTTTAGGGGGATTTATCCCTAATAAGGGGGGCTCGTTGCTCCCATGAGGGAGGACCTATTCCTCTTAGTGGGGGCTTATTCCTTCTATGGGGGGATTTATTGCTCCTATGGGGGATTATTCCTTCGGGGCGGACCTATTCCTCCTATGGGGGGCTTATTGCTCCTATGGAGGATTATTCCTTCTGAGGGGACCTATTCCTCCTATGGGGGGGCTTATTGCTCCTAGGGGGACCTATTCCTCCTATGGAGGGATTTATTGCTCCTGTGGGGTGATTATTCATCCTGGAGAGGACCTATTCCTCCTATGGGGGGATTATTCCTTCTGGGGGGACCTATTCCTCCTATGGGGGGATTTATTGCTCCTGCTGGGTGATTAGTCCTCCTAAAGAGGAGCTATTCCTCCTATGGGGGGCTTATTCCTTTTATGGGGGGCTTATTCCTTCTGGGGGGGACCTATTCCTCCTAGGGGGGGTGGGCTTATTGCTCGAAAGTATCTGCCTCCCCCCCCCCCCCTCCACTGCCACATTTGGCACCTTTCTTACTTTCCTCGCCTACATTTAAAAAAATATATATATTTTTAGGAAATTGCTTAGAACCCCAAAACATTTTTTTTTTAAAGCAGAGACCCTATAGAATAAAATTGTGTGTTGCATATTTTTATGTCACATAATATTTGCACACCAGTTTTTTCAAATGCAAATTCTTTGGAAAAAAAAATACACTGGAATGAATTTTAATGCAAAAAAAAAAACAAAAAAATTCGAAATTTTTTATGAAACGTCGAGTAAATAGATACCTAATATGTCATGCTTTAAAATTGTATACACCTATGGAATGATGCTAAACTACGGTACCTAAAAATCTCCATAGGTGTAGCTTGGAAAGCCCTCAGAAGTTACCAGTTTAGAGTTACATAGGAGTTTTGTTGTGTTTGATGTTTGTGGCGATACCTCACGTGTGTTGCGATCATCATTTACATATGTGTGAAGGACCTTCGTACGTGTTCGCATTTGTGCATGAGCACGAGGTCACTTTAAAGTTTTATTTTAATCTTCATTTTATTTTTTTTTACATTGTACTTTTAATTTTTTTGGATCAACTTTATTGCTTTCACAAGGGATGAACAATATCCAATGTGATGGCATCGGTCTTGATAGGTCCTCTTTATGGAGAGCTCTCTCCTCTGTCCCCCAAAGCATCTGATTAAACCAATATTTGTTTGGTCTGATGCTTGTACAAGCTGGTAACAGCTTTTTTTACATGAAACCTCAATCAGAAGTCACAAAATCCTCCGCTTCTGGTTTCTGATGGCACAGTGTGTCACGGATCAGTTCCTCTTATGGTTTCCCGGGAAGTGGATGCTTCCAGCTTCTGCTGGTATTGCTCTCCAGACTGCTGGAAAGGAGGCAAGTCCCAGGTGAAGTGCACTTGGTATCACTTCAACTAGGACAGGAGCCGGTGGTCTAGAGGAATAATCGGCATATGCGGCCCCTGCTCCCTCCACGGCCGCTTGCTTCCTCTGCTGCCAACGGTGGCTCCTTGCACTCTGATGCTCTGGGATTGCGTATCAGCAACCCGTTGTTTGCGATCTGGGCTTGCTGATCCGCCATCTCAAAGTATAAGGTCTTGGGCAACATCAGTGGGCTCCACAGGCCATGGGTTGAGCACCCCTACCACCTCAAGAACAGAAGTAATCTGGACACTGAATTCACGAGATACTGCAGTAGCCATCTTGGGTGAGGAACCTTTAAAATAAGGGAACCCACACAATTTTGGCAAGCTTTTGATGAGAGTATGGCCAGGGATAGAAAAGGAAAGGCATAGGGAAATGTTCTTGTGGAGCAGGGACAGCTCAGGGCAGGCTTCTTGGTCATTATTGACACTCCGGTGTTTGGAGTGGAGATCTGGTGCCAGTGCACACTGCTAATTTCTCCTATATACACCTCTGGAAGGAATGCTACTCTTGCTATCCAAAGCCCTCCTGTGATAACAAAGGTGAATACTGCATTGTACAAGTCTGGATCGTTGTGCATATAGATATATTTCCGTGCCTGTGTATGCTGCACAAGTGCAAGGACTATAAAGTATACTGTGCAATGTACAGAGTGTGTCCCAAATCAAGGTACCTCATCTAAGCACTGCTTATATACAGATTAGCAATGGAAGATCCAGTATCCCCATAGCACAACCATGTTTCTGTCTGCAGAAATTATGCTTGAATTTGAAATAGGTGGTCTTGGGACAGAGGTTCAGCAAGGAACATACTTGGTCTGGTTTGAGTGGTTTTCTACTGTCAAGAGTTCCATAATTCCTTTCTGGCAAGAAGTGAGTAAAAAATGTTTTGAAGAAATAGGAGTGCTGCTGTTATCTGACACACCTGGTTGGCAGACAGCATGTTCCATGTTGAGTAATCTAGTTTCCCCTATCAGCTCCACAGTAGTGACTTTGCAGACCAAGGGAAGAATCACAGCAACAGTCATATTCTGAAAATAGTCCAGGGCCCAAAGAACACTTGAGGTATAAATAAACCATAAATTGATATGTATCACAAACAACTGCCATTTTTTGATCTGTTTGAACCACTGGATAGGATGGGTCCTATGTTCTTTGCTTCAACTTTCTCAAGAACCTCAGCTCCTCTGACACACCAAGTTGAGTGTAAAAACATACAACATCAAAGGAATTCAACGACATTAATACATAGTACCCAATAGTAGTGCTATATTAACCGTTTCAATACCGGGCAATTTTACACCTTCCTGCCCAGGCCATTTTTCAGGTTTCAGCGCTCTCACACTTTGAATGACAATTGCGCGGTCATACAACACTGTACCCAAACTAAAATTTTATCATTTTCTTCACACAACTAGAGCTTTCTTTTGGTGGTATTTAATCACCGCTGGGGTTTTTAATTTTTGCTAAATTAACAAAAAAATACCAAAAATTTTGAAAAAAAACATTTTTCTTTGTTTCTGTTATAAAAGTTTACAAATAAATAATTGTTCTTCATAAATTTAGGCCGAGATATATTCTGCTACATGTCTTTGGTGAAAATAACCCAAATTAGGATGTATTTTTTAGTTTGTAGGAAAGTTATAGAGTTCACAAACTATGGTATAGATCTGAAAATTGATCAATCCTGAAGTACTGACAGCCAATCTAATTTCTTGAGGTCCAAGAATGTCAGAATAGTACAGATATCCCCAAATGACCCCTTTTTGCAGAGTAGACAGTCCGACGTACTTCATAAGAAGCATGGCGAGTTTTTTGAAGTTGTATTTTTTTTGTCATAATTTTTCGGAAAATGAAAAAATTAAAAAAATTATTTTCACTATTTTTTTTTTTTACATACTCTCACCAGTGCAGTACAGCGTCATCATATAACTGGCATGGCGGTGAACAGGGACACTGACTGGTGACAGTATGAAAAAAAAAAAATATATATATATATATATATTTTTTTTTTTTATTATATTTATTTTTTTATTACATTTTTTTTATTTGTTTTAAGATTTTTTTTTTCATATTTTACTATGACCAAAGTAGTACAATGTTACCATAGTAACATTGTAGTACTTTGGGGAAGTGATCAGTATTTTGTTTTACACAATTTGCTTATAGCAAAGAATTACTTTGCTATAAGCAAGCATTTACCTGAATGAAATCGATTCATTCAGCTTTTTCTTTTTTTTTTTGTGCTTAGCTGTGATTTGGTCACAGCTAATCACATGACATGTGCATGTGATTAGCTGTGACCATTCACAGCTAGGCACTAGTATACAATGGATGGCATCATGAATGAAGCCATTCATTGTATACAACTGTCATGTGACCTGCTGTGATTGGTCACAGCAGGTCACATTATACCAGTAACGGGAGCCGGTACTCGGACCTGTCATCGGCCGTGTCCGAGGTGCACGGCCGGTGACAGATCGCACTGCTGCGCCGCTCTGCATTAGCGCAAACTGCGCATGTGCGGGAGCACGCCAAATGGCGTGCACCCAGAGTGCAGAGACACTTTTGAAGCCGCTAAACGGCCATTGGCCGGGCGGCTAATGGTTAAAGAAAACAGGCACCAAACCAGGTACTAAAGGTATACTTAATATACTCTCACCCAATATGGTTGGTATCTAGGCAAGCATGAAATGGATTTACAATGGTAATAACACAATTTAGCATACAAAATAATTAACAGCAAGAAGATGACATTTGACGTCCAGGTCATCATAAACAGTTGCAAGGCCACCTCAAGTGCAGCAGTGAGCAGAAGTAAAGTTTAATCTTCAGTGTGCTGTAATTATACTGGCAGAGCGCATTTATGGCAGCAATGCTAGTCCTAGACTGTCTTAGTATGCACTGTCCAATAGAAAAGGAGGATGGTAGCAAAGGGGGCTTGTAGAATAATTATTATGGTGGGG